CTGAGTCCCTCAGTTGAGGCGACTCCCTTTGGCTTTGTCTCGGAAACGACTAAGGATCTGGGTCCTTGTGTCCTATCTTTTCTCGCTGAGTCCCTCAGTCGGGGCGACTCCTTAGGCTTTTCCTTTTCTTAGAAACGGTTTAGGGTCAGTGCCCAGTTGTTTTTTTATATACTCGCCGAGTCCCTCAGTCGAGGCGACTCCTTTTGGCTTTTTCTCGGAAACGGCTAAGGATCTGGGTCCTTGTTTCCTATCTTTTCTCGCCGAGTCCCTCAGTCGAGGCGACTCCTTAGGCTTTTTCTTTTCTTAGAAACGGTTTAGGGTCAGTGCCCCGTTGTTTCTTTATATACTCGCCGAGTCCCTCAGTCGAGGCGACTCCTTTTGGTTTTTTCTCGGAAACGGCTAAGGATCTGGGTCCTTGTTTCCTCTCTTTTCTCGCCGAGTCCCTCAGTCGAGGCGACTCCTTAGGCTTTTTCTTTTCTTAGAAACGGTTTAGGGTCGGTGCCCCGTTGTTTCTTTCTATACTCGCCGAGTCCCTCAGTCGAGGCGACTCCTTTTGGCTTTTTCTCGGAAACGGCTAAGGATCTGGGCCCTTGTTTCCTATCTTTTCTCGCCGAGTGGAGGACAACGATCGAGGATAGAAGGTGTCCTTTTATTAGATTTCGAAAACTCGAGTACACGCCTAACCTCTTTATTGGTAGAATTTCTTTAAATGGACGACATTCCAGAGTCGGTCTATGGGTTTTCCTTCCAGGGTCTCGAGCTTGTAAGTACCGGCATGCACCACTGATGTAATGCGATAGGGTCTTTCCCACTTAATTGCAAATTTGCCCCCTTCCGTGGGCTGACTTGCCTGTCGGTCCCGCAACACGAGGTCGCCGACCTGGAAGGCTCGTGGGCGAATCTTCCGGTCGCGATACCTCTTTACAGCTTGTTGGTATTCGACCATCCGGGCACACGCCACCTCCCTTCTCTCTTCTAGGAAGTTCTTTTCAACTCTAAGGCTTTCTTTGTTCTCTTCGTCGGAATAGCTGCGAACTCGGTAGGTGGGCTCCACGACCTCCATTGGAACCTTGGCTTCAAAGCCATACGCTAGGGAAAAGGGGCTCTCTCCAGTCGCCTGTCTTTGCGTAGTTCGGTAAGCCCAGAGGACCCGGTCGAGCTCATCCGCCCAATTTCCCCCGATGTCTTCCAACTTCTTCCGAATCCCGTCCACTATCGTCCGGTTCACATTCTCGACTTGCCCGTTGGCCTGGGGGTACGCGACGGATACCTTGGTGTGTCGTATACTATGCCGGCGACAGAAGTCGGCGAAAGCTTGGTAGTCAAACTGCCTGCCGTTATCACTAACCACGTGTTCGGGCAGGCCGAAGCGGCAAATCACCTTCTTCCACAGGAAGTGCCGACACTGGTACTCGGTGATGGTGGCTAGTGGCTCGGCCTCGACCCACTTTGTGTAGTAATCGATGGCCACTACACAAAACTTCAAGCTTCCCGGGGCGACTGGTAGTGGTCCTAACAAATCGATTCTCCATTTAGCAAAAGGGATGGCTGTGGTGACTGGCGTGTAGAAGGTGGCCGGACGAGTGTCCTTCCGGGCGAAGGCTTGGCAAATGTTACACTTAGATATCCATTCCACGCAATCTCTCATCATGGTCGGCCAATAATACCCCTGGACGACTAGCTTTCGGGCAAGCGTGTGGGCCCCCTGATGGGTGGCGCAAATCCCTCGGTGTGCCTCATCCATTATCCTCTCGGCTTCGGGCCGGAGTAGGCATTTCAAGAGGGGCCCCCCCGAACGACCGCTTGTACATCTGTCCGTCAATGATCTGGAATGAAGGGGCTTTTCATCAAATCCTTGCAGCGATTCCTGGATCCTCTGGCAATTCGCCTGTTTCCTTAAACCGCTGGATGTCTTCTATCCAAAACATCTCGGGGTTTTTCTCTCGATCCCATTCCTCGACATTTACTTGTTGGACCTCCAATGGTGTCTCCTCTATACTCGGACGACTTAATTCTTCCTTTTGGCAAATCTTGGCGAGGTGATCCGGTATTCCTTCTAAGGCGATTTTCGATAATATATCGGCCTCGATGTTGTCCACCCGGGAGATATGCTCTATTTCATATGTTCCGAACTCCTTCAGCATTTCTATCGCCTTCTCCTTATACTGGGTCATCCGGGCGTTCTTAGCTTCGCAGGTGCCGGAAATCTGTCCCACCACTAACCGGGAGTCAATTTTGATCCGCAGTCGTTCTACTCCCAATGCCTTGGCGAGTCGAAGGCCGCCCAACACAGCCTCATACTCGGCTTCGTTATTAGACGTTGGGAACAAATAACTCAGGGCGTAGTAGAGTCAGAACCCCTCTGGAGTGACTAGCATGATTTCGCCTCCACAGTGTTGTCGACTCGCCGCTCCATCCGCGTGCATCTCCCACCACTCACCTGAACGGTCTTCCGTGGTGTGCTCTTTCTCTTCTTCCCCTGCCGTGCACTCGACCAGGAAATCGGCTAGGGCTTGCCCTTTTATGGACGGTCACGGTTGATACTCGATCCTGTACTGGGTTAATTCCACGGCCCATTTTACCAGTCGTCCTGACGACGCGGGGTTTCGCAGTACACTCCCCAGCGGCTGGTCGGTCAGTACCCGGACAGTATGGGCTTGGAAATAGGGCGCTAACTTGTGCACGGTGATCACCAGTGAATAGACGATCTTCTCCGAGGCTGTGTACCGTGTTTCGGCGGCCTTCAGGGAGCGGCTTAGGTAATATACCGGGTGCTGGGTACGCTCTTCTTCCCGAACCAGTACCAAGCTCACCGCCTTGGGGGAGGCGGCTAAGTACAAAAACAAAAGGCTCACCCTCCCGTGGGGTGGACAATACTGGAGGTGTGGAAAGATACTGTTTTAGTTCCTCGAACGATTGCTGACACTCGGTCGTCCAAGCAAAGCCTTCTTTCCTCTTCATGGCCTCGAAGAATGGTATAGTCTTGTCCGCCGCCTTACTTAAGAAGCGACTGAGGGCAGCCAGTCGACCAGTCAATCGTTGCAAATCTTTGACGGTGCTGGGAGGCTGCATATTGATGATGGCCTGGACCTTTTCCGGGTTGGGCTCGATGCCTCGTTTAGTCACCATGTATCCTAAGAATTTTCCGCCTTGCACCGCGAAGGCACATTTCTTCGGGTTCAGCCGAAGATTATAACTTAGCATCACTTGGAAGCAGTCGGCCAGATCCTCCGCGTGTTTGGCCTCTTCCTTGCTTTTGACCAACATGTCGTCTACATAGGCCGCCATGGATTTGCCCAGTAAGTCTTGGAATAGCCGAGCTACCATCCGAGTATAGGTGGCCCCCGCTTTCTTGAGTCCGAAGGGCATAACTCGGTAACAATACACCCCGTCTGGTGTAAGGAACGCGGTTTTTTCCTCGTCGGCCGGGTGCATGAAAATCTGATGATATCCCCTAAAGGCGTCCATAAAGCTCAGCAGAGCCGACCCTGCTGTCTCGTCGACCAGCTGGTCAATCCATGGCAAGGGGAATGGGTCCTTTGGGCAGGCTTTGTTAAGATCAGTGTAATCCACGCACATCCGCCATGCTGGGGGTTTCGGTACGAGGACTACGTTCGCCAACCACTCCGGGTATTTAACCTCTCGGATGTGGCCTGCGGCTAGCAGCGTACCCACCTCTTTCTTTACGAATTCCCTTCGGTCATTGGCGAGATACCGCTTTTTCTGTACGACCGGCCGATGGTCCGGATCCACGGCGAGTCGGTGGGCGATGATGGACCTGTCGACACCTGGCATATCCTCTGGCCCCCAGGCAAAGACCAGCCGATGCTTTCGGAGAACTTGGATAATTTCCTCCCGAGTCTCCTCGGGGAGACCGACACCAATTCTAACCCGCCTGTCCGGCCGTTCAGGGTCGATTTCGATTTCTTCCAATTCCACGGCTGGTTCCGGGCGGGGTATCATTGCTTTCTTTGGGGGTTTTTCCGTGATTTCGTGGACTTGCATTCCACGTTTGCCCATCCCCCTACAGGCTTACAGGTAGCAGTCGCGGGCGACTCTTCTATCGCAACGCACCGTTCCTATCCCGTTTGGCGTGCGGAATTTCAAGCAAAGATGCTCGATGGAGATCAGTGCTCCCAAATCCTCCAGGCCTGGTCGGCTGAGTATAGCGTTGTGTGAGCAAACTAAATTTACCACGATGAATTTCATGCTGAGCTGCTGCACGTCGGGATAGCTGCCGACTTCCACCGGCAGGGTGATGGACCCCTCTGCTTCCACCGAGTCTCCCGTGAAACCGGTGAGCGGTGTCTTGACCGGATTCAGCTGTTCTCGAGTCAATCCCATCTTTGTGAAAGTCTCGAGGTATAGCACGTTGGCACTACTTCCGGTGTCGACCAGGATTCGCCGAACGACCACTCCGTTTACGTCCATTGCTATGACCAACGCATCTCGATGCGGTGTCTCTCCCGTGGGAAAATCTTTGTCAGTGAATGTGATCGGCTCTCGGCACGCTTTCTTCGGGCTTTCTTCGCGCCCATATACTGTCCCGACGTACAGTTGTCGAGCCCAGGCCTTCCTGGTATTCGCCGAGTCGCCGCCCTCTGGTCCGCCGACTATCATGTTAATAACGGGCTTCTGGCGCCACTGGGCCTCGTCTTCCTCAGTGGCCGATCGCTTGCCGCGGCTGCTTTCGGCGGCGACCGTGGGATTGTCGTCCTCTCGTGCTACTGACCTACGCCTCCACTGATTAGAGGCGGGGTCCCTTGCTGGATGATTCCTTCCATGACCTTTTTCAAGTAAAAGCACTCTTCCGTGCTATGAGTGTAAGATTTATGATAGCGGCAGTACTTGGAGTTCTTACCTGTCTCTTCACTCACCACATGCTCGTCGGTCGGCGGGGGCGGAGGCGGAGCGACCGCTTGAACCTCGTGCACCGGGTGCTGAGGAACCGCTCTGTAAGGATGGACCATAGGCTTGTCATAGGGACGTCTAGCCTCGGTTCACCGAGCCCCTTCCGCGCGCCTTTCCTTGATTTCCGCGCGGGTCCTCTTTCCGCCGGCTGATCCTCCGACTTCGCGTTGCCGCTTATGCTTCATGGCCTGCTCCGTGTTAGCCCTTTTATTGGACATGTGTATGGCTTCCGCGTAGGTAGCAGCGCGGTTATCTCGCAGATCCCGGTACAACTGCCCGGATCGCAAAGATTCGGTGAAGAAAGTGAGTGCGGTAAGATCTTCGACCTCCTCGATAGACTGAATCTCCTCTTGCCATCGAACCAAGTAGGCTTTCAGTGACTCGCCTTCCTCTTGGTGGACGTCTCCCAGGTGAGTCAGATCCTTCTGTGGCTTGATGTTGGCCGCGTAATGGCTCATGAAGCGGTCGGCTAACTCCTCGAAACTGTGAATCGACTTAGAAGGCAGCGCCACTAACCACCTTTGTGCCGAGCCTTTCAGCGTGGGCAAGAAGGCGCGACACATCACCGAGTCTTGCACTCCCAGGACCTGCATTTTGGCCTGATAGCTAAGCAGATGCTCGCGTGGGTCTCTGGATCCGTCGAAGGTGGCTTGTTCCGGAAATTTGAAGTCGCCAGGTACTTTGTAGGACATGATCTCGGAAGACAATGGCAAAGCGGTGAGCAACGTCTGCCCGAGGGATTTGGTCTTTCCCCCCATTTGTTCATTCAGATCTCGTAACTCTCGGGCCAATTGGGCCACGTCGCCTTCATTGCGAGTGTGGTTTCTTGTGGATTCCGTACTTTCGCCGACCTCGGATTCAGCTGGTCGGTCATCGTTGCACGTTACGCGCTCGGTCCGTCGTGTCCGAGTCTTAGTTCTCCTGGTGTGAGCTCTTCCCCGACCGGTTTCCCGATCTCGGGGCCCTGCTGGTGCCCGGCTGGGCTCCCTTTCTCCAAGTTGTTCTCGTGCAGGCTGCCGCCCAGCATTCCGACCCAGCCTTGAATGGACTTATCGTACTGGCTGGCTCTCTGCCCGTCGATTTTCCTGTCAGTCTTTCGGCCTCTGGGACGGTTGTTGATGGTGAGGCATCGGTCGAGAAACTGACTGCTCACTCACTCCTCGACTTGCGTCGGCGAAGGCTCGCCCGATTGCGTGGAGTTGTTCCGGGGTGAGGGGTATCATGGGTGGCTGCCGGTTCACTGGTGCCGTTTCATTTTCCTGACTTTGAGCATTTCGTTGGTTCAGCTGATCTCTTAAATCTGCCTCCACTCCATCGTTTCGGTTGTTCATTTGGTCTCGTCCTTCCGACATGCTTGTGACGCTTCTTCGGTCGACTCCGGGACTCGCCTTGCTCAAACAGTCATGTAGCTCTTTGTTTCAATCCCCACAGACGGCGCCAGTGTTGGTTTTTGGGTTTTCGGGCCCAAGGAGGTCCAACACAACCTGTGGTTGGTGGATTCACCTTTCGCAAAAGTGATCGTAAGGGAGTAGTCGAATAACTAGGAAATGTGTCTGTCTTATTCTCTGGGCATGGACTCGCCTGGCTTTACAAGTGTGGAGGGACCTTTATATAGTAGGCTCCCTTCCATCCGAATTGAAATACATTAAACATTGCTTTCAAGGCTAATTACACTATCAGACCGTTCGGTCGCTGTTACCGAGTCGACCAACGGCTCTTTGGCCTCCTAACGGCCCTTTTGACAGAGTCCTCTTGAATGCCACATTGAGTGTTCCCTCAACGGCTTTTAGACCGATTTGAATGCTTCTTACCGGCTCCTGAGTCGAGTCTTGGGCCTGGGCCGACTCCTAGATTCGGCCCAGGCCACCATCGGGCTTCTTCTTTTACTAACTCTTACCTCCTATCTTGGGCTCCATCTCTCTTGGGCCCTTCTTTTTGGGCCGGGGTCCTCACCCCATCACTCCTAATTCTTTCCCGGGGATCTTTAGGAGGGTACTTGGCTCCGATGCGGTCTCGGTGTACAACATCCTGAAGGTCCAAAGGTGCCTCTATCAACACGTGCATGCCGATCTGGTTTGAGAGGGACATCGATGCAAGTGCGTCAGCAAAACACTACCGTCTGTTCCAAAGACAAAAGCCCGAGCGGTGCTCCACAAAATGCCGACTGGTCCTCTCAAACCCCGTCTGCCACCTTATTTTGTTCTCCGTACGTATGTTTGTACTCTACCTGTTCCAGCCCCACAACCTCATTAATACAATGTTTCGATCCGCATCCCCATCCCTCATGCTCTCCACAGCGGATATAGGGTCACCTTCGACTAATAGCTTATCCACACCAAAGTTTTTTGCGAACCTGATACCTTGTAAAATTGCATGCCCTGGCCTCTGCCTCCTCGATCTTGCACCGTCCGATGATACACGTGAAACCCTCACATCACTACATACTCTTGCGACATCCGTCGACGTTGATCTTCCACCAGCCTGGTGGGGGTTTTTCCCATGCTACCGCGGACATAGGAGGCTGTGTAGTGTGCCTGCTCGATGTCCTGTGTTTCGTGTAAGCCGTCTTGACTTCTGTATCGTAAGTTGTTAGCCAAGCTCTTCTTTGGTTTGAAGATGTCGTCACCTGCCGGAACACCTCGTCATTTCTCTATCTCCACAGCTACCAAAGCCGAATGGCAAAGCGTTTGGGCCATCCCTCGTCGCCACCTAGGTTCGCAGAGAACCATCCTTTCCAGTTCAGGCCACAAAGACTTTTCGCAGTTTGCCAGGGAAGTGATGATTTTCATATCTCCTTTGCTACCGGGCAACGTCTGAATATGTGGTTGAGGTTCTCTGCCTGTCCTGCACAACGAAAACAAGCCACATCAGTCGCTATATTCCTTCTAACACGTTCTGCATTTGTGAGAATTCTTCCATGTTTTACTAGCCAGAGGAAGAAACATATTTTCCCCGGAACGCGCAATTTCCATATAAGTTTCCATTCAGTATTCGGCAGGTGTGGTTTTGCTTGCACAACCATCTCATACGCCGACTTTATCGAGAAACGGTCGTTTTCATTCAGCCCCCATCATATCTTGTCGTTCACGTTCTCCTCCGCCAACAGGACGCTTACTAGCCGATCTTTTGTCTCTCGCAGCAAAACATGATCGAGTTTTTCCCACTTCCACCCTCGATGGCTATCCCAGTAGTCCACAACATTTGCGTACATGTCAGGAAGGCTCATGGGATGAAGTAGCTGGTCGTAAAGTGGCATCGGTGTTAACCAGCTATCCATCCAGAATCGTGTTGTTTTCCCGTTACGTACCACTCGAGTAAGTCCCTTTTCCAACTGGCCCCAAGCAGCGGTCACCCTTTTCCAAACATTGGATATCTTCTTCCTTCCCAGATTCGCTATATTAAGATTCCTGTTCCTTATGTATTTCGCATCAAGGATCCGGGCCCAAAGGCAGTTACGTTCCGTTTTGAATCTCCAACCTAATTTGATCATATACGCAGTGTTTAGTTCATGTAGTCGTCGGAGCCCAAGACCACCCGAGTCTTTATCGGACGTCACCATATGCCAGTTCATGAGCCAAATTTTATTACCCCCACGCTAGTCGACCCCCAGATGAATTTTCTGGTTCTCTTTTTCAATTCCATGCATACGCTTTTAGGAAGGTATCCCGTTTGCATGGTATAAACGGGGATGGCATTGAGTACAGATTTAGCCAGTACAAGCTGCCCAGCTGTAGTTAGAGGATTTAGCCTTCCAACCCTCTAGGCGAGATGAGAGAAGTCCAGCAAGTTGGAGAACGTGTTGCAAGTAGCTAGGCCGTGGAGGGAAGGGACTCCTAGGTATCTCCCTAGATCCTCGGTAACTGAAATGCCAAGTCTGTTTACTATGTCTTCCCCCAGGGCCGGGTCTGTGTTTCACGAGAAGTGGACTTGAGATTTACATGGGATCATGTCATCTGCAAAACAGAGGTGAGAAAGAATAGGACCATTAGCATTAAATTTAATACCCTTCCAATTGTTGTTACCAACTTCCGAGGTGATGAGTTGACTGAGACGTTCCATGCATAGGACGAAGATGGTGGGGGACATCGTGTCTCCCTGTCGTATGCCCCTTCATGGACTAAAGGATTCAAGCCGCTCACCATTCCACGCTATGGACAGTTTAGCCGTGTGTATGCATGTCATCATGGCCTTAGTCCAATCCTCCCTAAAACCCGCTTTCTCGAGAGTGTCTTGAATAAAATCCCACGAAAGACGGTCGTACGCCTTTTCCAGGTCGAACTTTAAATCCATAAGACGAGTTGTTCCTTGTTTTCCCCGCATGGTATGCATAACTTTAAAATAATAGTGAGTTTCTACAATGTATTTACTACTTTTTTTCCAAAAAACAAATTAGGCAAAATGTACAAATAGGCTATTGAATTATTTGGAAGATAGGAATTAAGACACCGAATTCGAATAAACTCCAAATTCATTCATGAACTCGGAAAAAAAAAAAACAATTAGCATTTTTAGCAGGTTAATAACAGGTTTGCGCGGATTAGAATGTCATGTATATATATATATATATATATATATATATATATATATATATATATATATATATATATATATATATATATATATATATATATATATATATATATATATATATATATATATATTTTTTTTTTTTTTTTTTTATTATCCTATTTGACTACATATAAGCATTTGACCCTTTGAAGTCAAAATTTAAAGCCTTAATTTCCTCTCTTCTCTATTTTCTTCTCATGTTCTTCATTCGCGTTTGCAACATATGGCGTTATGTTTTGTTTTTGTTTAAATTTTAGCTACTCGGTTGAACTGCTCTAGCTGTGACCTCGAGGAGCTAATCAATTTTCAGGTTCAATGATGTACGCATATTACAAACGAACATGAAGTTAGATGAATGACTAAATTGTTAATTTGATTACCTCTAGTTGAGGCAAGGTGCACGCTTCTCCATCAACAAGCATTTCATCCTCGAGGATATTTTTCTAAATTGTTTTTCGTTTTGCACTAGTTTCTCTTGATAGAAGTTTATACACTGAAAATCTTTTGCAAAAATACATACATATTATACGTAGAAAAACAAAATAAAAATAAAACATAGCGCAATATGTTGCAGACGTGAATGAAGGACCGGAGAATAAAATATAGGAGAGAGAAAATTAGAGCTTACATGTAGTACAAATAAGATAATAAGATAAAATATATATAAATACACACGGCGTCCTAATCTACACAAACATGTTGTTAACCTACTAAAAATACTAATTACTCTTTTTTACCGAGTTCATGGATGAATTTGTAGCTTATTTGAGTTAAGTGGCTTAATTGCTATCCTCAAATAGTTCAATGGCATATTTATACCTTTTCCCAAGAAATTATAGAACTTTTTTTTAATCACATATTACTTTTTTTTCTTCTATTTTTATATTAATTGATAGGACCAAAATGTCTTACTTTTTTTCAAGCTTAGAAAGAGACAATGTAGTAAAAGAATATAATATTATATTAACTTTGAAATAAAAATGTAGTGACTTGATGAAGTCACGAAGACTATAATAGGGGTGCCAGAGAATGATTTATCAATGAATAATGCTATTTTTTTGGAAGAATAACCAGGGATCGAGTCTCACCAGCGGCAGTGTAGGAGCAACCTCTCAAAGTGAGGGGTGTTCCTTGTGCGCAGTGAGCAAATGTCTAGCCTCTGTGGTTCATGTTCAGTTGAGTTACCATC